ACCACAAGAAACCTTCCACAGGAAGTCCAAGCCTGGGACCCCAGGACCTCCATGGACTTTTGGTGTGGGAGCGTCGCGCTTTCCGTAGCAAAGGCGTCGAAGCCCAGGAAGCCCGGGAACCCTGGAGGCAAGCGGGGTGTTTCTTGGCATGGGCCCCCACTGTACATGCATGCGGCGAGAAAAGTCGCCTTGCGCAATCGAGTCCAACCTCCACTCCATGGCGCACGCGGTGCTAGAACGACAGGAAGGGGGGACGAACACGAGGGGCTTCCAAGCAATGCCGCCTCGCCCGCTTCGGGGTGGGCTTCATGACGAAGGCAGGGGGACGGATGGCCCAATGACTGCGTCGCAAAATCGCTCTTGGAATCGGGTGGTACAGCCACAACGTCTATGCCCCTGAAGCGAGGGAGGATACGATAACCAGAAGCCAGCGTAGCACACAGGGAATAATCACAGAGCCGAGAAGACATGGAAGGAGCGCAAGGCGGCTTCAAATCGTGGGACTTGCAGCCTACACGCACGGGATGACGACGATTGGAGACCTGAAGACAAAGCTTGGGAAGAGTGCGGCAAAGTTGGCACTCGAGAGCTGGCAACAGAGGAGAAGAGAAACGGACACTCTCATGGAGGGAGCCAGACGACTGGGCATGGCCAGGTCAAGCCTTCCACCGCGCAGCACTCAACATTATCCGTGTTCGCGTCACCAGTTGCAATACTCAGGGCCGTCTTTATCGCCTCGTCGCTGGCCACGCTGGCGGATCCGACCTGAGATCAACAGACACACTTGACTCTCAATGCCATGCTCTTGTTTATGAAGGTCTGCGGCACCTACTCCTCATCACGCATGAGATCTCCAAAGTTAGTCACACGCGGAAGGATGAGGAATAAAGACAGCGTCGCTGCGCCGAGCAATGTCTCTTACAATGCTATGAACAGTTGAACAGCGATACGTGTTCTGGGAATGCGTTGTCATGCGCGCACCCAGTGCACGCAAGGCAAACTCATGCGGGCCGCATTGGCATAACCACCCCACGTACCCACCTGATTGCTCAAGCCAGCACGTGCAAGTAATGGCAGACCAGCAAGCGCGATCAGAGATGCACCGGCTTCGCATGTGTCGCTTTGAAGCTCCAGGCTGCCAAGCTGCAAGCAGGAACCATGCACAGGTGAAATCCCCACGTCTCCTTCAAGCGCATCCTCGTCGCAATCAGCATCATCGTCACCACTCGTCAGTATCACCGTCATCACCATCATTGCACGCACTCCAACTCATCACCACCGTCGCCGTCATCAGAACATCGTCATCGTCATGATCGTCACCACGAGCGTGCAGAGTGGCCGCCGCGCCGCCGCGCACGACGCGGCGCCCCGCGAGCGAGGGCGCCCAAGGGCCGCTCCGAGGCGCCCGCGTGCCCCACGGGGCTGGCCGGCCACGTGACGGTGTGGACCACCGCGGGCTCGCCTGCAGGGGCGAGCGCCGAAGGTAGGAGCGAGAAGGAGAGGGAGGGAAGGAGCGGGAAGGAGAAAGAGAGAGAGGGAGGTAGGGAGGTAAGGAGCGAAGGAGCGGGAAGGAGGTAGGGAAGGAGAAAGAGGGAGGGAGGGAAGGGAAGGGAGGTACGTAGAACGTAGAGGGAGGGAAGGAGCGGGAAGGAGAAAGGGAAGGAGCGAGAAGGAGCGGGAAGGAGAAAGAGACTACGAATGCGCCTCGGCGGGGCCGTCCACGGCCAGAAATTAAAAGTATGCCTCAAAGGCCTTCTCCTTCAGGACCTGGATTCACGGATTCCGCCTCCGACGGCGGGAAGGGGAGAGAGAAAGGGGCGGGAAGGAGGAGGGAGGGGAAAAGGGTCAGCTCAATTCAGTTCCGTGAGTCAGTCCTGCGGCGTGGTCTGCTCGGACCAAGGGGCAGCGCCAACTACATTTTTGGGCGTTACCCTGCGATAGGGGGCAGAGAGGGAGGGGAAGGATCAAGGGGCCCAAGGACACACAAATAAATACACACAAATCCCAGGATTTCCCATATTTCCACGTATTTTCTAGGTTTTCGTCCCCCCCCCACTTCCCATATTCTTCCTATTTTTCCTTGGGAGTCGGCGATGAATTGTGTCTGTGTGTTTTTGCCCCCTCCTGGAAGGAGGAAAGGGAGAGGGGGTAGGGGCGCGTGGAGGGACCTGGTGCAGGAAGATGGCAAGTCGGAGGTTTTCACTCTTCCCTCCCTCTCCCGCCCCCCGCCGTCCTCCTGCCATGTCCCTAGCAGCCCCTCCCTTGCCCTCCTCCCCTACTGAAGGGGTCCAGGGACACACAAGTGAATACACTCAAATCCCAGGATGCCCCATGTTTTCCAATATTTTCTGGGTTTGCGTCTCCCCCCCCCCCACTTCCCAGATAATTCCCATATTTTCCTGGGTCGACGATTATTTTCTGTCTGTGTTTCTTTCCCTCCTGACCTACAGTGTTCCCCCTCCCTCTCCCCCTCGCCCTTTCCCCTTCCTCCCCCACTAAGACGTGCGTGCGAACTTTGGGGGGCCCAGATGCAGGGCAGAATGCTCTTCAGTGAGAAAGGCAGTCATCGTGCTGGGAGGAAGGGGCTGAGAGAATGCAGGGTGTGAGCAACATCATCCAGGTGCAATGAACGATACCTTCGGCCGCCTGCGTCTAGCGAAGGGGAACGTGTTGTCACCGCAGCGCATGGGCCGCCAGTCCAACACCACGCAAGCTTCCTAAGAAGCGGGTTGCAACCTGCAGCTTACTTCGTGGCCCTCTGGGGGCCATGGTGACCCTGGGAACTCCCCAAGACGCCGATTGCACCCTGCAGCCTACTTCGTGGCCCTCTCGAGGCCCTCTTGGAGCCCTGCCGAGGCCTTCGGTGGGGCCGTCCAAGAGCCCTCTTGCTTGTGTGTGTTCTGGGCCCTCTCAGAGCCATCTTGCACCATCTCATGTGTTGAAGCGACGCGAGGGACACTGGAGATGGACCAAGGGCATGAGCAATACCGCGGGATTCTGGCAATTGCCCAGTGAATAATGACTTCTGTATTGGGTTTCGTATTGCGATCCGCTGCTGATACGGCATTCACACGTGCATGTTTCCTCGTGCTCATAAAATTTTGGGGATGTCGCGGGACCGCAGCAAGTTCCGTATTGCGTTCCGTTCCTGATACGGAACTAATAATGGATTCCGTATTGCGTCCCGCTCGCGATACGGAATCACTACTGCGTTGGTCCGCTTCCGTTCTTCATGGGTTGAACCATGACTTCTGCATGAGTCGTTGGCACCGGCGGTGCAGCATTGCCGCCGATCGGGCCCCACAGGTATTTCCAAATTATACAGGCCCAGCCAGTGACGCGCAAAGCAGGGTTCTTCAGGAGGAGCAGCTGACGATGAAGGAGAAACGCGTGAATGCGATGAGCGGGAACGTGGTTTCCAGCGATACGACAGCGAATATGACACCCAAGTTCAAGCAGAAGTACCAACACTATTAACAGGAACTTCAGGCTGCGAGCGGTTGGAAGATGCGACGGCGAATGGCCGTGCGCATGCCAATCTAAAACAAGTACCAGCAACACACGCGAAAATACATATGAAAGGATCATTATCCCCAGACCCATCTTCCCAACCCGAAAATTTTCTTTCTGATAAATAAGCAAAAAAGTGCCGCATAATATGGGTGGAATATCATGGATGTCATGTTCTTAATTCGTTACGACATCCGACGGTTCCCAACTGGATGCCTGGGAATCCAATGCGCGGATAGCAGACCCGTCCACCTGTGCCCCGTTCAAACCCTGGATAGCAGGGCAGCTCTGCACGCGGGTGCGCGCGCGCCTGTTCCTGGTACCGCCGCAAGGACGACCACGATTGCCACCCCCGCGCGCGCACACGTGCCGCCACCGCCGCACACGACCACCTACACTTACACACGCGCACGCCCACGCAAACATCCACTAACATCCACGCAGCAACGACCACGCGCTCACGCGCCCCTTCCCCGCCCGCTCAGCGCTCTACCCCCCCCGCGCCCCCTCTGCTGCCCCCGCGTGTTCCCAGCCCCCCGCCGGCGCTCTGGAGAGGGGGGGCGCCGCCCCATTTAGGAGCCTGCCCTCCCTCCGGCCCTCCCTCCAGTCCAACCACTCCACCCTCGCGTAGCGCCGGTGGCGAGGGGAAGGGGGGGGGGGGGTCGCGCAGACGGCGCCGCCCGCGCGGGCGCGCCCGCACAAGCGCGCACGCGCACACACGCACAGACACACAACAGTTATATGTTAAGCAGTCCACGTGACGCAGTGTATGTAGTCCATCTATGTGGTGCAAGCTACGTAGTGCACTGTATGTAGAGCAAGCTACGCGGTGCACTCTATGATGCCTACTTTTTTCCCGCCGCCAGCACGCGTGAACCACGAGTGACCACATGCCGGCGATGTACACCAAGCGAACCTGGAGCCACGCGAGGGCCGACCTGCAATATGTGAGCCAACACGAGAAACCTTGGTTCGTGCAGAAACCATGGGCAGGATGCGTATGCTATCTGGGATGGGGGGCTCCAGAGTTCCCGACGTGCTCGAACGGGACGGTCGAGATACACTCTTTCACGAGGGGGAGAGTCGGAGCAAAATGGCTGGGGTTCCTCACAAAGGGTGGGAGCAAAATGGCCAGGGTAGCCAAGAGAGAGGAAGGAGGAGGAGTTCAAGTAGCTTGAACGAGAAAACACGAGGGCAAGCGGACAAGAAGCGAGACGAGGGCAGATGATGATTCCGCTCGCTCCCACCCACTGCTACGCCTGATACTCTGCTACACTGTAATATATGGCTGCGCTGGCCGCAGCATTCGGGCGTACTTTGATGCCAACACTCGGGAAAGCGGGACAAGCAGGAACGGGCGGCAGGAGCGACGCGGTGGGAGGACGGGCAGGAGACGAACGAAGCGAAGGTTACCACGACGGGGAAGAGCGGGGTAGAGTGAGCCAGGCGGCGGGGTCAGGGCTACATTCGCGGGTGGCCTCAGGGGCCTCATGCGCAGCGGCAGCCACGCTAGGCGGCGGAACGGCGCGTGCATGCAGAGTTTCTTCGGGATGTGCAGGATGGGCTGCGTCAGCCAATCCGTCGCCACCAGCGGCAGCATCGTGCAGGACGGGATCTTCAGGACGGAGACGTTCGCCACCGACGACAGCGTGCTGCGGGACTCGTTCAGCGGGAGGGGGTTGTGCGCCATCAGCGGCGGCATCAAACAGGACGCGATTGTCGCGATGAGCTTGAGCGGCAGGGTCAGACAATCCATCACAATGCCGGCGCTCGTAGTCCCAGAAGATACTCCACCCATGGTCGTCAGCTCCATGCGGTTGGACGTCTCGAGCTGCACGATGTGCTGCGGACGCCACGCCAGGCAGCGGAACAGCACGAGCATCGTCATGAGGCGCGACAGCACGACGCGCAAGTTCATCGACCAGACCAGCGGGAGCCAGACTGCAGCATCTGAGTTGGAACAGATCGGAGCGACGAAGGTGCGGCGCCCCAGGAACAGCCCAGGCATCGGAACCGCCATCGAGCACTCCTCGCCGAGGACCAGCAGGAGCAGCTCTATCTACACCAACGGCAGCATCTTGGACGCCGTCTTGCATACGGTCACTAGGACGGGCATCAGGAAATAAATCGAGAGCAGGATGTGCACCGCACGCGGAAGCGTCAACGTGCACTTGTCCGCCTCCATCGGCAGCACCATCGTGGTCATCATCAGGATGCACTTTGAGAGCAAGCTGTCCGCCACGCGCGACCGCGTCGTCGTGCACTTGTCCGCCACCAGCGGCAACATCATCATGCTCAGCGTAAACCTCGTAGGACGGATCGCTCTCCGAGGACAAGGAGGACTCGAACACGAGGGCGAACCACGCGTCGAAGCAGCGGATGAAGGGCCTGTTTTGGAATGGCGTCTTACGCCGTGTGACCCAATGCCATTGGCGGAGAAGTGGACGGAGAGCAGCGAGAGCATCGCCAGCAACACGAGGACGGGCGCCGCCAGCAGCAGAGGCATGTAGGACATATTCATCACGGAAACGGGCGCCACCAGCGGCAGCGGCATGCAGAGAAGGCTCAGGAGCGCCTGCGGCCAGCCGAGGAAGAGGACCAGCGGCATGCTGCAGAGCGGGTTGTGGCCGTGGGCCATCGCCAGGTGCATTACCAGCGTCACGTGGACGGGAGCCACTGGCGGCAGCGGCATGCAGGACAGGACCAGGAGGGTTGTGGACGCGGGCCATCGCCATGGGCAGGAAGCGGTCCAGCGCCGATTCGCGGGACCTCTTGCTCAGCGTCGCGACGAGGAAGGCGACCATGGGCGATGCCAGCACGAGCATGCACATCATGGGCCGGTGCAGCGTCGGCATCTGCAGGGCGGTGAGGCTGAACTTCAGGACCAGGGGCACCGTCAGGAGGTCGCCCACGGATCTGCTGCAGGAAATTGGCGACCAGCGGCGGCTCGTTGCCCATGCAGTTGCCCAGCGGCGTGATCACCCGCACAGCGACAGGAAGCGCAGCAGCGTGTGGAAGAAGTACGGGTAGTTGAACTGTCTGGCGCTTGCCGCGAGTGCTTTGCAGCGCTTAGCAAGCACGGCGATGCAGAGCGTCAGCACTCCTGCGGTGCGGCATGACGAACAACGTCAGCAGCAGAGGCAGCAGACGCCATCGCGTGGACATATGGATCCGCAGGCCTCAAACGCTGGCGGCGCGGCGCTCGGCCAGGGGTCCTGGGCGAAACAGCTGTGGTGACCACTTCGGCCAAGACCGAGATACCCGATGAGAGGGCGGACTTGAGCCAAAATGGCTGCGGAAGGGGGATGGAGGATGAGGAGGAGGAGAAGGAGGAGAAGAGGAAAAAGGAGGAGGAGGAGGAGGAGAAAAGAGATAAACGAATTAGACTGGGCCTCAAATCGAGGATAGGCTAGCACAACGAAACTTGTCATACTGCCTACCGGAGAGGCCAAGTGGGGAGGACAAATCCTGCCCCCCTGCGGGCGCAGAACAAGGAGGAAGAGGAGGAGAGTATGGGGGGGGTGCACACAGGCAGGCTGACATAAGACTGCGCTCAGACACAGCCCCGTCTGGCAAAACAAGGCGATCATGCGAACAGGCACGCCATGAATGACCACGAACGGCCCACAAAGCTCCGACCTACTGGCGGACTGGGCGCGAGGCCACTTCTAACGTAAAACTCTCAAATGATGGCACAACGGGTGAGGGATGAGAGGAGGACGGAAGCGACAAACCTGACTACAGTCGGACCGGATTGGAGAAGACACGCGAGAGGACATAAGACCCTTCCGAGGGCCACATTGCCACAGGAACGTAGGAGGCATGGGTCGCGAGGCACGGGACACAAGGGTATCCTCGATGTGGCAGGGTCGACCTACTAATCAAGGCCGACTACATCGCTCGCGCTGCCATCATTCGCGCGGTGCGCGGCAGCGACTCCAGGGAAGGATGCCCTCGCGAACGCCCTCGCGCGGCATGGACGGAAGAGCACCCGCGGCCTCGGCGACGCGCCGCGGCCCCGAGCGAACCACCGCGTGCACAGTCGGGCCTAGGCCAAAAGAACTCCCTCCAAAAGCATTAGGCCCTCCGCCGGCGAAAACACCCCATACCCCGAGGTCATTCGAGGGTACCCTCACCCAGGGTGCACAAAAGCATCCAGCAGACACAGAGAACCTTGGGGCACCCTCCCCAGACCGACAGCGATCTGAGACCTCGGCCCGACTGTACACGATCAGCGGCATTCGCAGCGAGGGCGCGCGGCACTGCTCCACCTGATCAGAGTCGACGCCCCAAGGTTTAGGGAGCAAGCCACCTTGTCCTCCGCGGCTGGAACCGCCAGCCCGGCGTGCCGATGGCAGAAGCTTTGGTATAGGACGCGACATGGCTGTAATGCGATCTGTGTGGTGCAGTTGACGTGGTGTGCGACGGGCGGCGACGGAGCGGCGACGGCGACAACGCCGCAGCGGACCCGACACTGGAGCCCAGACGACGGGCGGCGACGAGGCGGCGACGGCGACAACAAGGTGGCGGGACCGACACTGTAGCGCAGACGACCGGCGGCGACGAGGCGGCGACGGGGCGGCGACCGCGACAACCAGGCGGCGGACCCGACACTGAAGCGCAGCTCCTGAGAAAACGGAGGAGAGCACCTGAATGCGAGCGCTGCTTGGGGAACCCTGCACCAGAAAGATCGCCCCAGATAGATGGGCACCACACAGTATGCTAGAGCACCGTGTTGGGGCCCACGCTGGCCAACGCTGTTCTGGCATGTCCTATTCCTCTTTGCTGGGGTCCCCCCATACCCCTTCCCTCCTCCTCCCTCCCCCCCTCCTCCTCCTCCTCCTCCTCCTCCTCCTCCTCCTCCTCCTCCTCCACCCCTCCTTCCCGCCATCCTCCTAACCCTCCATCCTCCTCCTCCTCCTCCTCTCCTCCTCCTCCTCCTCCTCCTCCACCTCCTCCTCCTCCTCCTCTAGCTCCTCCTCCCCTCCTCCTCCTCCTCCTCCTCCTCTTCCTCCTCCTCCTCGTCCTTCTCCTCCTCCTCCTCCTCCTCTTCCTCCTCCTGCTCCTCCTCCTCCTCCTCCTCCTCCTCCTCCTCCTCCTCCTCCTCCTCCTCCGCCCCTCCTTCCCGCCCCCCCGCGCCTTCCACCCGCCCTCTTCGCCCTGCCCCAGCCCCTCGCCGCCTGTGCAGGCGCTCCTGGCGTACAGGTTGAAGGCCTCTGAGGGACCAGCGCCCTCTCCAGCTCCAGGAGGGAGGAGGAGGAGGAGGAGGAGGAGGAGGAGGAGGAGGAGGGAGGGAGGGAGGGAGGAAGGGAGGGGGAAAGGAGGAGGAGGAGGAGGAGGAGGAGGAGGAGGAGGAGGAGGATAAGAACAGGGATAAGGATAAGGACAAGCGGGAGAACGGCGAGGAGGATGGAGGAGCTCGAAGGAGACGCGGCTGGCCGAAAGCTTGAAGCGTGGTGGCACCATGCCGCTATCGAAGTCCAGGTGACGCGCATCACCAGCAGTATCGTCAACGATATGTTCGTCGTGAGCGTCATCATCATCAGCATCATGATCATAGCCGCCGTCGTCATCATCACCATCATCATCAGGATTATCATCCGCTCCACGTCCTCCTCACCCGTGTCCCCACAAACACTATTCATGACTTGGTCATCCGATGTCCGTCTTCTCTGTCACATTCCACTGCCCATCCCCATCATCATATCCCCCTGCTCCCCGTCAACATCTCCACCACCATCATCATCATCATCATCATCATCATCATCATCATCATCATCATCATCATCATCATCAGCACCATCATGTTCAGCAGCATCATCACCACCACACTCAGCAGTGTCATTACCAGCATTAGCATCATCCTCACAATCATCACCATCATCAGCATCATCAGCATCATCAGCATCATCATCATCAACAGCAGCATCATCATCAGCAGCAGCATCATCATCAGCATCATCAGCATCATCGTCAGCTTCATCATCATCAGCATCATCATCATCACCATCATGATGACCACCATCATCATCACCACCATCATCATCACCACCAGCATCATCATCATCGTCGTCATCGTCGTTACCATCATACGCAGCATCAACATCGCCACCACCACGATGATTATCGGCATCATCTCAGCACCCTCGCCCTCGTAGGTTCCCTCCTCGCGCGTAGCCGAGACGCACACAGGTCTTCTCCGCCTCGGGCTCCCTCACATGTCCCCTCTTACCTCCCTTCTCTCGCTTCCCTCCCCTCTCCTCCCCCGCCCTCCTCCAGAACTTATTCCTATTCGTCATCCTGATTCTACGCCCTCCTCCTCCTCCTCCTCCTCCTCCTCCTCCTCCTCCTCCTCTGTCTGCTCCCCCTCCTCCACAACGACAAGCGGCCCTCCATCGCTCGCCGCGCCGTCTCCAGCCCTTCTTCTTCTGGATCATCATCACAATCCGTATTACAATTATCCGTCAACCCCTCCTCCTCCTCCTCCTCCTCCTCCTCCTCCTCCTCCTCCTCCTCCTCCGCCTACTTTGAGCTTGTTGCGGGCACTGGTATCACGGATGGCTGAGGCTCTCGTCTCCTCCTCCTCCTCCTCCTCCTCCTCCTCCTCCTCCTCCTCCTCCTCCTCTCCTCATCTTCCTCCGTGGCCTTGTCATATCTACCCGTTGTCATCATGCTTCTCCTCGCCTTTCTCACCTCCATACTGGTCCGAAATTAACCCTCCTCCTGGCACCCCTCCTCCTCTGGTCCCCTAATCCCAGAACATCCTTCCTCCCTCGCTGGCGTCAGCATCATCGTCGTCAACATCGCTAGAATCATCATCATCATCATCATCATCATCATCATCATCATCATCATCATCATCATCATCATCATCATCATCATCATCATCATCATCATCATCATTACCGTCATCCTCATCATCAGCATCAGCATCAGCATCATCATCATCATCATCATCATCATCATCATCATCATCATCATCATCATCATCATCGTCGTCAGCATCGTCATCATCATCACCATCGTCAGTATCAGCATCAGCATCACCACCACCACCACCATCATCATCATCACAATCATAACCAGCATCCGAATCATCACCATCACCATCATCATCATCATCATCATCATCATCATCATCGTCGTCATGATCATCAGCATCAACATCAACATCAGCACCATCATCATCAACATAATCATCCTCATCAGCATCATCAGCATCATCAGCATCCTCCTCCTCATCATCCTCATTCTCACCCTTATCCTTATCAACAACATAATCATCACCAACATCAGAGCTACAAATCATCCATCCTCATGCCCCCCCTCCTCATCATCATTAGTACCATCACCATCCACCAGAGAACGCGCGCTGAGGATGCAAGGGCCTTGGAAGGCCACGTCGACACCTTTCGAGCGGGGCGCGGCCGGCGAGAGTGGCCGAGGATGGGCCCAGGGGGAAGGATGCAAGAGTGACCTTGGCAAGTTGCTCATCTATTATGCGGGGTGGCTGTACTCTGACCTACCCCCCGTCCCCGCCGAAGCGTCCCGCCGTGCAGCCGAAGGACCTCGCCCGCCCCAAATGGCACCCCGAGGGGCTGGCCAGTGAAGACGGCGAAGGACGGGGCCGCCGAGGCAAGGACACAAATGTTAGGTCGGGCGTGTCCTCCTACAGGGGGATGTTGGACGAAAAGATACAAAAATATCAAACAAATGTCAAAACATCTTCAAACATAGTCAAACATTCGTCCCCATCTTATCTCTTGACCATGTTTGAATCGTCCTCCTGCAGAGAGACACGCCCGACCTAACGCAAGTGTGCCCTGAGGAGAGCCGTGAGCCCCCATCATAGACTCTGACTGCACCAACACCGCTGCTCCTCCTGGAGAGCCCTCGCTGCCTCGGCCGGATCCTCCCGGCAGCTCTGGCCGGCACGCACCCCCAGGGGCGGTCCGTGGAGCGGCACCATCAGCACGAG